CCTGGCTGTGGCCCCTTCCTCCCTCATCAGAGCCAATGGTCCTTCCCTCTGACCCTTCCTCTGAATACAGCCAGGAAAGGCTCTCAGCTCTAAGGAACTAAATGATTACACTGGGCCCACTCTGACAATCCAGGCCCATCTCAAGGCTGTAGCATCAGTTACATCTAAGGTCTTTTTTTGCCAGGGAAGTCTACAGCTTCCTGGGTTCAGAGCATTAGGGCACAGACATCTTCAGTGGTCAGGGAGAGGGGAGTGCTGCCCTACTTAGCACCCGAAGAGTAGTGAAAGAACACTCTCCTCCTTAAATGTCGATAGGATTCTTGGGTGAAGCTATCTCCACCTAAACTTTATGAGGATCTTAATTATGGGTTACTCATTATTATGAGATTTTCTATTAATTTTTATCAGTAAGTTATTTTTTAAATGAATTTATCATTTCCTCTGTATTTTCAAATTTATTTATGACATTTTAAAGTCTAACAGGATCTGTATAGTGACATTTTCTTATTTTATTCCCGCTGCTTCTGCCTTCTAACTTTTAAAGAAAAAATATCAGGCTTATTTGAGGTATATGAAAAATTTCCACCACTCCAAGAGGGTTGGTGTGACTCTGAAGTCAGTCTGCCCCCTCCCTCTCAGCAGGCCTGATAACTACAGCTCATTTCTGTCCCTGTTTTGCTTTGACAAAAATGTTGCACAAATGGAGTCATACAGCCATTTGTGTCTGGCTTAGCATAATACTTTGGGATTTACTCACATGTCTACATGTATCAGTGTGCTCCTTTTCATTGTATAATGAACCACAACTTGTTCATTACATCCATCAGTTAATGGACATTTGGGTTGTTACCAGTTAGGCGGATTATGGAAAAAGCTAAACGTTTCAGTATAGGTCTTTGTATGAGCAAATATTTTCGTTAATCTTGAATACATCTTTTAGGACTAGAATTGCTGGCTTGTAAAACATGGCAGGCAGACCCATGTACCTAGATCACAATCTCTGGAAACTTTGAATGTTAGGTTACATGGCAAAGGGTAACTAAGGGTAACTAAGGTTGCTAGCCAGCAGATAGATGTTGCTAGTGGGTCCCATACAATCACTAGGGTCTCTGAAAGTTGGAAGAGGGAGGGAAGAGGTAAGGTCAGACTGAGGCCATGTAAGGATTCAACTCACCACTGCTGACTTTGAAGATGGGGTAAGTAATCATGAGCCAAGTAATGTAGGTAGCTTCTAGAAGCAGAAAAAGGTAGAGGATTCTCCCCTAGGGCTTCTAGAAGGCACAATGCCCTGGCCATACCTGGACTTTAATCATAGGAGACCCATGTCAGCCTTCTGGTCTCCAAAACTGTAATACTGTGTTTTTTAAAGCCACTAAATTTGTGGCAATTTGTTATGGCAGCTGTAGAAAACTAAGACATACAGTGAGCGAATGGGAAACTGCTAGACTTCCTGAAATGGCTGAACCATTTTGCTTCCCACCAGCAATGTTCACCACTCCATGTTCACCATTTCACTACTCCCCCCCCACTTTTTTTGGTAATGTCGGGTTTATTGTTGTTTTCAACTTTAGCCATGCTATGCCCCTTTCCTTTCTTCTTGGTCATTCTTTCCATGGTTTTTAAATTTTAATAATCTTTTAAAAATGTAAGAACTTTTGTGTTTTTTCCCCCTATTTCATTAATTCCCGTTTTCATCTTTATTATTTACTCTGGGTTTAGTTTATTATTTTTTTCCCACCTTCTTGAGATGAATGCATATACCACTGGTCTTCAGCCTTTTCCCCTAATACTAGCCTTCAGGATTATAAATTTTGACTCTAAGAATGGCTTACCTGCTTCTCACAAGTTATGATGTATAATATTTTCGTTATCATTCAGCTCAAAATATATTTTTTAAAGATTTTATTTATTTGACAGAGATCACAAGTAGGCAGAGAAACAGGAGGGAAGCAGCCTCCCTGCTGAAGAGGGCCTGATGCGGGGCTTGATCCCAAAACCCTGAGATCATTGACCTGAGCCGAAGGCAGAGGCTTTAACCCACTGAGCCACCCAGGCGCCCCTCAAAATATTTTTCTAATTTCCTTTTTGATTTATTCTCTGACCAATGGGTTACTTAGAAGTGCATTTCTTAGTTTCCAAACATGAGAATTTTTTATTGCTAATTTCTATCTTAATTATAATATGATCAGGAAACACAGTCCACATGATATAACTCCTTTAGAAGGTACTCAGGCTCACTTTGTAGTCAAATGTCCTACTCAGTTCTCATAAATGTTCCTGGTGGGCCTGAAAGCAGTGTGTGTTCTGTGATTTGGAGTATACTGCTCTGTAACTGTCCACTGCAGGCCAATGCAATTGAATGTTTTCTTCAAGGCTCCCATATCTGTACCATTAGTCTGCTTAGTCTATCATATACAAAAGGTGTGTGAAAATCTCCCACTGAGTATAGATTTACATACTTCTCCATGTATTGTCATCATTTTTGCTTTAAATATGCTAAGGCTGTTATGTACATACAAATTTGAAGTAGTTATATAATCTCATATTTGAAAAGTCTATTTCCAACTCTAACAATGCTTTTGCCTTAAAGTTTTAATACATAGAAAATATAGCTTTCACATTAGCTTTTGGCTAGTCTGCATGATGTACCTTTTCCTATCTTTGGTCTGTTAGGACAGGAAGTTTCAGACTTCTCTTGTCAAATGTTTATAACTGATTTTTAAAGACTTTCTAATCTAAAAAAAATTACAGCATGTAATCCATGTAATTACTTATTTATTTGGGTCTAAATCTACCATATTAGCTAAATGTTTTCCAGTTGTCGAACTTGTTTTATTTCCTTTATTTGCTCTTGGATCATCATTTATTGGACTTCTTCTGGCTTGAAAGGCACGTACTTTACCATGTGTATGTGCACTCCAAGTCTCATGTTATGGGTTGACTGGGACTCTCAGTTAATACAAGAACCTTAGATTACTCAATTTATCACCCTCCCCCAATTTATATGACACTCTAGTCTTGTATTTTAGTTCTCCCTGTATCTCCATCTCCACAAGACATTTTTTGGTAGTCATTATTCATTTTGATTTATCCAATGGTAAATGGTTACCATTTCCATTAAAATGTATATCTATCAGCATATGTATTTTTTTTAAACACTACTTATTTATTCTATTGCACAATGTATAAAAAGTGCTTGTCTGGACTGCAGTCTTTCTACTGAGTCAGCCAGCTTGGGCCAGTTCCAGCTCCTCCAGTACATCTTTCCTGTGAGCCCTGGAGGAGTATCTGACCATGTGAGGTCAACTCTTTCCATGGCTCCTGCTGCCCACAGGACCGGGTTTATATACAAACTCTTTCTTGATCTGTCCCCTACCTAATTCTAAAATCTCATCCTTACTTATGTTCCACATTTCCCCTATACTCTTCACTCAGTGATTTTCTAGAGTACCCAGATTTTATCAAAAACATGCTATTCTCCATTTGTGTCTTTGAAAAACTGCAAAAAGAAAAGATAATTTAACCAGTTCCAATTCTTCAAGGCCCAGTCACTTCCCTGGATGTTTTCTTGTGCTCTGTGGGTGGAGGCTGAGGCCTTCTGAGAGTACTCCATGCATAAATCTGCTCTTTTGTTACTGAGAGCAGACTGATTCTGGTTGCTCCATGAGGGCAGGACTAGCCTTAACCATGTGTATCCCCATTTCAGAGCCCAATAAGAAAATGGGGCCTAAATGGAATTCATCCTCCAAAAGGAGATTATACTCCCCATAATGCAACTGTTTCCCTTTGTGTTGTTCTGAAGCTGAAATCATAGTCTATGTGAAAGTGCTTTAAAAATCGGGTAAGTATGTAAAGATTAATGGCTGGTAGTGAGTGGTAACTATTTCACATACTCTATGGAAAAAACATTTAAACAAAACATGTCTAGCTTTATTTTGTTGCCAGGAAATTTGTTAGTTTAAGTATCAGTGGATCATAACTTACCTTGTAACCTTGTGCCTGAATAGTGAAAAATAAATCAGCTTTGTAAGGAGAAACATTACAAATTATAAGTTGTAATTACACAAATTGCTATAAAAATATAATTGTTCTAAAAATTTTGTTCTTTGAAGGATAACTCTTTTAAACTAAAATCTTACCTGGAATCCCAAATACATAAAATCACATTGTGATTGAAGAACATGTGGTGAGTCTTTCTCATAGCAGAGTCACTAGAAGCACAAGATGATCACCCCTCTGCTAAGTTCAGAGTTTTGGGCAGGTTTCCATAATCTCTTCAACTAGAGAACTGAATAACTTTGTTTTAGCATGCCAACAACCAACCTGGCATTTAAAAGTAACTTTATTAAAGCTGAGGATAGCTGTTTAATACAGTTTGATATAATAAATCTACAGATAACCACCACTCACATCACATAATTCAGCTTCTGGGATGATACTCTCCTCTGCTAACACTCAGCGCTGTGGCAGTGGCTGGGCTCTGTACAATAGGCTAGGCTACCTGCCCTCATGGACTCACGGGCTCTTGTGCTTCCACATTCCAGAACTTGGGGATTACTGAACAAGAGAAGAAAGTTCAGAGCTTTTTCTGTGATATTTATAACTTACTTTACTAAAGTTTTAAAAGGCTAAGAGACATTTGTAGAATTTACATTTGTGAATGTAAAACTGGAATTTAAGGTGTTTGTCCAGATAAATTGTACTATGAAATGAAAGGTTTTATTTGCAACTTTTACAACTTCATGAAAAAATACACTGCTCAGAATCCAACACTGGCTAAGTAAAACATTTTGATTTCTGAACAATACTGGTAATACATACCTCTGTCTTAAAATAATTCAAGAACATGATTAAATGAAAGAATTTTGATAATGTTTAAGATGACAGTTTGCAAAAAGAAAAGATAAAGTAATTTAACCACATTTTAGTAAGTATGTAGATATATATTTTATTTGTCAAGAGTAAATGTCAATTTTATTTAGGATATTCAAGTAAAAAAATGAAAAATTATATACCAGTGACTGTTAAGAAAAAGTTAAAAGACATTAAATTGTCCTAAGAATACTACAAAGGCACTGAATCCAAATATCCCCTTATATATGAATTACCTAAGTTTTCATATCTTTAATATTCAGTTGCTCACAATTATGGTCTTAAAAAATATTTGTAATAAGATGATTCTACCTTATGATTTTTCCCCTGGAAGAGAGTTTTAAACAACAAGTATGTAAAACATTCTAATGAAATACAGTGGCAATACCTCAGGTTCAAAGGTACTCATCACTAGAAAAGGGATTTATACCTACATATTTTTACCTTAAAACACAACTTGTTTCATCACAACAATACATCAACCACAGTAAGGCACACTAAAGGATGGAAGGCCATGTTACATAATTTGATACAAATCTTAGGATCATGTTACCAACTGGATAATGATATCAAAAATTAAGAAGTTCTATAAAACTATCAAGAGGTTAGAGCTTCAGGTGGGTAATACGTTTTAAAACACATTTCCCAAAATTTACTTTTATTATGTACAAAAAAGGAGTTCATCTTGGAATATAAATACAATCAGATAACCATACAATGAATGACTTCTGTATTTTCAGCGGCACTGACGCTTTGTGGTACAATGCATGTAAGTGACAATAAATGGGCAACAGGAGAAATGATTTAGATTCCTCACAAACCAGCAACTTGAAAACTTCTAACAGCGAATATAAAAGTGATATCATCCACTGTGGTTTACGCATTAACCTTATACTTAAGAATATCTTCCATAAATGGCAATAACTACAGCCATTTGCCAGATATAGAATAACTGATACAGCAAATAAAAACAGCAAGAAAATCAAAGCATACTTCTAACATTTTAATAACTTTTGCTTGTGATGACCTTCTGTGATCTGGAACCTTTGTTTTACATAAAATTGGAGCTGGAAAGAGAAGAAAAAACCTTTTGATTGGTACAACAAAAAAACCATATAGGAAATAAAAATTACTAGAATCATTAGTTTTACAAAGCTTTTACAGAAAGAGCAAACATACATCTAATATACTACAGGATACCTTTGGAAAAGAAAAAATAAAAAAACACCAAACTGTATTTTCTTAAATATGAATTCTTTTGAGCGCTCAAAAAAATTATGGGCTTGGCCCTGACTTTATAAACAAGAGCACATGCTAATAATGGTTTTTAAGTGGAGCAGGGCAACAATTTTTACAAAGCAAATGTAAACTGTCTTTCATATATGGAATAAACTTGGGAAATCCAATTTTAGTAACACTGGATTAGATTAAGGTGAAAGGATAAGAACAGGTAAAAGGTCCCTTAGCTTTATATTTCAAAGCATATCTTAAAGCCATAATAAATTATAGTTTATCTTTTGAAATTCAATGATTATGGCTATAAAAGTCATATTCATTCTTTTGACAAGTAACTGTATGCCCATTATTACAGCAGGCTCTGTTTATTATTATTATTATTACTACAGGCTCTGGGGATGGATGCATCAATGAACAAAACAAAGATCCATGCCCATGTAGAACTTATATTGCAAGATTAGATGTGAGAATTCATTCCTTCTCTTTTCCCCACAAACCATAAAACCCACAGGTCAGTTAAACCTACCAAGACTCTGTGGATTCACTTTTCCATAGTTCAAAAATAGAAAGCTGCCATGGGCCAACATTATGCTCTCCTAATTATTTTGAAGTTAAATTACAGTATTCTGAAAATGCTGGGTTTGAAATAAGATGTGATGACAAAATTAAACCATAAATGTTGCTCTGTGAGGAAAAAAAGGAAAGCTGGATGCTGCCAAAACAGAGGTAGCTAGAGTAAATTAAGGCAAAGAGTCACCAAGAAGCACTCTCAAAAGAACCAGTCAATGCTGAATTTCAAGAACAGTCAAACAGGCAAAATGACAAGGATACTTTAAGTGGGAGAAATAAAGGACATAAAGTATAGAAAAGGGGAAAAAAAAACTTATTTTCTAAAATTTTGGTAACTTTGATTTTAACACATACCCAAAACCTATAAGCCTTGAGATTATCATCCAAATGCTACTCATGGCCGCCCCATTGTACGGGGACCCTCTCTACCTTCCTCTGCATCTTTACGTCCACCATTGGTTTCACAAGCTCTGACATCAAAGCACAGGAGTTCGAATCGATAGCCTGGTTCCCTTATTAAAATAAAAATTCTCACAAAATCATCATCAGTAGAATTTGTTAAAAAAGATAAACTAAATTCTTCTTATCAAATATTATTTTACTTCTATGATTCCCCCAAGAAGTATATAGCTTCCATTTACACATGAAATTTAACATAACAGTAGTTCAGGAGTTATTAGATGTGTGCTAGAAACACAACCTAGACAATGAAATTAGGGCAGATATTTTTCCCCTCAGGTAACTGAGCCTTCTTATATTCTGATGTATTTTGTTCATTCATTCTTATGCTCATTTTGGCAAATATTTACTGAACATCTCATATATGCCAGATGCTCTTCTAGATGCTAGGGAAATAGTGAACAAGAGGAACAGGTCTCTGCTCTCAAGGAGCTGACATTTTAGTTGCCAGAGGCTGAAAATAAATAAGGAAACGGACTGTAGTAAGCGTAAGATCAAATAGGGAATGAAACAGAAAGTAATGGGGGAGAGGACCTCCAGAGTGGAGGAAATCGATTTGGAGATAGCTTACTTCTTACGGTCCTTGTCCTTCTTCAGGTTGCTGCCTGATGCCAGGTAGGACTGGTTCTGGTATATCTCCGAGGTAGCTTTCTTTTTTGAAAAAGCTATTATTTCTTCTTCCAAGAGTCTTCTTTTCTCTTCAAGCTTCATTCTCTCTTCTTGGTGAACTCTTTTAAGGTGCTCAAATTTGGCCTGTAGCTGTGAAACAAAGGTGCAATTCCCATCAATGACACAGTGTGGCAGCACACACACAAGAGTGTTCTCCAGCTTAGCAACAATTGCTAACACTAACGTACACAGTAATCTACAAATTTTCCTGATGTCTCAAAAGTTCATGCTTTAAGTAAAAATGTACATATGAGACTGCCTTGGTCAAAAATGAACTACTGGGACTTCATTAAGATCAAAAGCTTTTGCACAGCAAAGGAAACAGTCAACAAAACCAAAAGCCAACTGACAGAATGGGAGAAGATATTCCCAAATGACATATCAGATAAAGGGCCAGTATCCAAAATCTGTAAAGAATTTACCAAACTCAACACCCAAAGAACAAATAATCCAATTAAGAAATAGGCAGAAAATTGTACCACTGGGTATTTACCCCGAATATACAGATGTAGTGAAAAGAAGGGTCATCTGTACCCCGATGTTCATAGCAGCAATGGCCACAGTCGCCAAACTGTGGAAAGAGCCAAGATGCCCTTCAACAGATGAACAGATAAAGAAATATGCTCCATATATACAATGGAGTATTATGTCTCCATCAAAAAGGATGAATACCCAACTTTTGTATCAACATGGACAGGAATGGAGGAGATTATGCTGAGTGAAATAAGTCAAGCAGAGAGAGTCAATTATCATATGGTTTCATTTACTTGTGGAACATTAAGAAATAACATGCAGGACAGTAGGAGAAAGAAAGGAAAAGTGAAGGGGGGTAAATCACAGGAGGGATGAACCATGAGAGACGGTGGACTCTGAGAAACTGAGGGTTTTGGAGGGGAGGGGGCTGTGGGGTTGGGTGAGCCTGGTGGTGGGTATTAAGGAGGGCACATATAGCATGGAGCACTGGATGGGGTGCATAAACAATGAATCTTGGAATGCTGATAAAAATAATAAAATTGTAATATTAAAAGACCAAAAAAAAAAAAAAAAGAAGAAGAAATGGACAGAAGACATGAACAGACATTTCTGTAAAGAAGACATCCAGATGGCCAACAGACACACGAAAAAGTGCTCCACATCACTCGGCATCAGGGAAATACAAATCAAAACCACAATGAGATACCACCTCACACCAGTCAGAATGGCTAAAATTAACAAGTCAGGAAATGCAGATGTTGGCAAGGATGAGGAGAAAGGGGAACCCTCCTACACTGTTGGCGGGAATGCAAGCTGGTGCAGCCACTCTGGAAAACAGCATGGAGGTTCCTCAAAAAGTTGAAAACAGAGCTACCCTATGGTCCAGCATTCACAATACTGGGTATTTACCCTAAAGATACAAATGCAGTGATCCGAAGGGGCATGTGCACCCTAATGTTTATAGAAGCAATGTCCACAATAGCCAAACTATGGAAAGAACCTAGATGAATGGATAAAAATGTGGTATATATACACAATGGAATACTATGCAGCCATCAAAAGAAATGAAATCTTGCCATTTGCAATGACGTGGATGGAACTAGAGGGTATTATGCTGAGTGAAATAAGTTAATTGAAGAAAGACAAATATATGATCTCTCTGATATGAGGAATTTGAGAGGCAGGGCAGGGGGTTGTGGAGGGTAGGGAAGGAAAAAAATGAAACAAGATGGGATCAGGAGGGAGAGAAACCATAAAAGGCTCTTGATCTCACAATACAAACTTAGGGTTGCTGGGGGGTGGTGGGATAGAGAGAGGGTGGCTGGGTTATGGACATTGGGGAGGGTATGTGCTATGGTGAGTATTGTGAAGTGTGTAAGCCTGATGACTCACAGACCTGTACCCCTGGGGCAAATAATACATTATATGTTAATTTAAAAATGAAAGAAACTGCCTTGGTAGCTTTTTTATTTTTTTAAAGATTTTACTTATGTGACAGAGAGAGTGAGAGAGCACAAGCAAGGGGAGCAGCAAAGAAAGGTGGAGAAGATTGATCCCAGGACCCTGGGATCATGATCTGAGATGAAGGTAGACCGCCTAACTGACTGAGCCACCTAGGCGCCCTAGTAACTTTAATTTTAAATGTGTTCCCATCCAAAAAGTGCATGAACAAAAAAATAAATAAAAATCCAAAAACCTGTTTTTAAAACATTTGACCTTTTCTTAGAGTTTTTATTTTCTTGCTCTGTATTTTCCCCCCTCTGCAAATAAACTTTCTAAAATCCATGTTTAATAAAAGGGACACAAATCACAAAATCAAGTTATCAAAAAAACACCTTATTTTCTAAATAAAGCTACCAAGTGTAGTGAAACGGTAAAAAGTTACATTGGTAAACCTATCTGAAAAGTGTCAATTATCAATTTAAATCAAGATCCTTAAAAATCTATTACATTTTTATACAGCCATTCACCTTCTTGAAATCTAAAGTAAATCAAGAAATCCTAAACTTGGGGCGCCTGGGTGGCTCAGTGGGTTAAAGCCTCTGCCTTCAGTTCGGGTCATGATCCCAGGGTCCTGGAATCGAGGTCCACATCGGGCTCTCTGCTTGGCAGGGAGCCTGCTTCTCCCTCTCTTTCTTCTTCCCTCTCTGCTTGCTTGTGATCTCTGTCAAATAAACAAATAAAATCTTAAAAAAAAAAAAAAGAAATCCTGAACTGAATGGTTTTTTTCATAAAAATACTCACTGTAGTAGGGGCGCCTGGGTGGTTCAGTGGGTTAAGCCTCTGCCTTCAGCTCAGGTCATGATCCCAAGGTCCTGGGATCGAGCCCTGCATCGGGCTCTCTGCTCTGTGGGGGGCCTGCTTTCTCCTCTCTCTCTCTCTCTGCCTGCCTCTCTGCCTACTTGTGATCTCTGTCTGTCAAATAAATAAATAAAATTAAAAAAAAAATACTCACTGTAGTAGAATTTACACCATAATGTGAAAAAATAGCCTGTGTCTAATGAAGTAAAAAAATAAATGTATGCTAAGTACACTCAATGCAGTTATTAAAGTGAGTCCATGAAAGGTTTTAACAAGGTGAAATTTCCCTAGGGACTTGAGCAGATTCCACCTGAATCAGCTGTGTGCCTTGCCTGCCAAGAACACAAGTACAACATCTAGAATCTAGATCAAAAAGGGCAACTTCTAAAATTTTCTAATCTAAAAAAAAAAAACCAAAAAAATTCTCTAATCTAGTTATATTAATTTAAGTATTTTCAGTTCTGGGAAGCATTCATATAAAAAAGTAGAACTTGGGGGCACCTGGGTGGCTCAGTGGGTTAAAGCCTCTGCCTTCGGCTCAGGTCATGGTCCTAGTGTCCTGGGATCGAGCCCCACATCGGGCTCTGTGCTCTGCAGGGAGCCTGCTTCCACCTCTCTCTATCTGTCTGCTTCTCTGCCTACTTGTCATCTCTGTCTGTCAAATAAATAAATA